GCTGCGTCCCCCTGGACGAGGCAGGTCAGGTGAGGCGGGTGCTGGACTGGGCTCTGAGGGACCTGCCCTCAGTTCCTGGCTGTCCCACAGGCTCCTGTAGGGCTAGGCTCCACAGAACCGGCCCCGGCCCCGCCATGACTTTCAGGTGCCCTCACGAGGCCTAAGCTGCCCTCTTGGCGTTAGGTGCCCGCGGGGTTTAGTCTGAGGTGGAGGGAAAGGATCCCTCCCCCTCACACCCTCTGCTTCCGCAGGAGAGACCGAGGAAGCCTTATGGGGCCCGCTCTGGTTGGTGAGGCCTGCGGGTGCTGGCGCATCGGGCCCCACAGTGAGCAGGGCAGAGGGGCACCCCCCTGCCGCAGCTTTGTGCCTCGCTCACAGCGGGGGCCAGCCAAATGCCAGGCCTGGGGCTGCAGGTGCACGCTCAGAAGCAGAAACGTAGGCGGCCAGGGACTGGGACTGCGGAAACGAAAGGCACGTGGGGGGCAGCTGAGCGGAGGCTTGTAAGTCCCAGTGGGGCCCAATTCTGGGAGTTAGGTGCTTTCGCCCTTTTGTGACTCTAGCCCTTAGCTGCTTGGAGCCTCAGTTTCCCATTTATAAAATGAGGATATTGATGCTGAAGGATAATAAATTCTGTGGGACGGCTGAAATAATTGGACTTTAGTCTGGAAAAGAGAAGACTGAGGGGGGACATGACAGCGGTTTTCATTAATCTAAAAGGGTGTCACAAGGAGGAGGAAGACAAATTGTTCTCCTTGGCCTCTGAGGACAGGACAAGGAGCAATGGGCTTAAACTGCACCAAGGGAGGTTTAGGTTGGACATTAGGAAGAACTTTCTGTCAGGGTGGTGAAACACTGGAATAAGTTGCCAGGGAGGTTGTGGAATCCCCATCTCTGGAGATATATAAGAGCAGGTCAGACCTGTCAGGGATGGTCTAGACAGAGCTGGGTGAGGGCAGGGGACTGGACTTGATGACCTCTTGAGGTCCCTTCCAGTTCCAGTGTTCTGCGCGGTCTCTCTCATCTATTTAGACAGGAACCTCTTCAGGGCGAGGCTCCCTCTTACTATGAGTCCATACAGTACCCAGAGTAACAGGGCTCTAGCTGCCACTGTGCTATAAGTAACAGCAGCTTGCATGTCCCCCAGTGACTGTACAGAATGTATCCAGGAATCACTCCCAGTGCCCCCCAATCTCACTAAAATGCAGCTAGCTCTGGGCTAGAGCGCAGCAGCTGTCTGCCGGCACAGAGCCACAGTGTCTAACTTAGGCCAGGCGGTGGCTAGTCAGTGAGAATGCTTGGCCGGCAAAGCAGAGCCTGATGGGAGCTGGCAGGAGCCTCTGAGTCATTAGGCCAGTGGGTAGCACCTGGTGGGGTATCGGCCTAATGGGTGATCACGCCCAGCTGGGGAGGAACTGGGGCTTCACAGAGGAAGACGCTCAGAGCACTGGGCCCAAGCCAAGGAGGGGATCCGAGCCAGAGCGAGTGGGAAGTTTCCTTGTGTGGGCGAGAGGCAGAAGGTGGGTGGTCCTGAGCTAGAGGAGAGTAGCTGAAATTCCCAGGGGAGCTGCACAGAGGGTGGGGGGTAGGGTGCTTGTTCCTCTGGTAGCAGGGAGTGAAGAAACCCGCAGGGAGGGGAGACAGCCTGGGGAAAGGAGGGAAACTGGTTCGGTGGGGGATCCCAGCTTAGGAACCCTGTGTATATGGGGCAGGGCTCCCCTCCTGGCCACATGTGGGGTGGGAGGAAGCCCCTGGGGAGGGCGATTGGGGAGGGCGATGGGTACTGGAGACCCTGAGGAAAGGGGCCCCTCCGGCCGGAGTCAAGGGTGGGAGACCCTGTGGTGACTTGTTTTTGCCAGACTGTCCCTAGGGAGGGGTGGCACCAAATGTAACCTAGACCCCCCAGGGACCAGAGCGGCTGTCGGGAGGAGGTGCTAGAGCAGGGCAGCCGGCTATATGACGCCTCGACACAAGGGGGTGCGGCAGGGGGAAGACTCATGGCCCGGCAGCAACACT